AGCTTGCAGTTTCGACCCCGCTTTTCTTGTGAGAGGCGCTCGCAGATGCTCTGAAATCAAACAAGACCGTCACTTTCATCGACCTCGATGACAACAAGATCGGAGACCCTGGCGCCAAGGCCAGGGGGTCTTCGCAGCTTGCAATTTCGACACCGCGTTTCTTCTGAGAGGCACTCGAAGATGTGCGGAAGTTCAACCATGTTGTCGCCGAGTTGTATTTTTGAGGCCAGCACTTTGGTGCATCAGTCGATGCTGCGAAGCACAGGGAGTAGCATAAAAGAACAGGTTCGTTTGTTTTCGTTACTCCGTTCAGCGATGCACCAATAGTGGCCGCCAGGGCCTGAATCTAATAATTTCATCATAGTATCATACTAAGTACTATTATATCCGTGTATGAGTATATGTAGTGCTGAGGTACCCAGAAGCCGTAGACTAACACTGGACCATGTAATGTCAATTTCTTAAGCCACTGTCGAAGTATTCAGGTCCCGATCTTATCTTCGCGAGGTCTTTCCAAAACAAGGTTTCTAGCTGGGCCCAGAGAAGTTTCACGCCAGAAGCTCTGGAAAGTCGGTCCCGTTGACAATCCGATTGCAGCTTCCGCTGAAACCGGCTTCCGCATCGCTCTCGCCTTGTAAACCCTAAGCCCTTTTGTGCCAGCCCTGCCAATTCGTGACGCTTCGTGGCGAGTCATTTCTGCATCATGTGGCTTCTCAAGACAACGCTGCCTAGTGTGCGAGGCGGAAGCGAGAAAGGGACTGAAATTGCCCGTTCAATGCATAGGAGACTATAGACGCCATGTGCAGGGTAGCTCTTGTATTAAGCCTATATACTTCTTGTTGTGGTATACGATCTTATGGTATATACCTCTCCAGGTTTGGGTCGGGGTTGAGGGTAGATTTCGAGCTCCCAGTTTCACTCGTAGCCCGTGGCAGCCAGACCAGAAGGACCAGGATGCGGCCGAGCCCAGTCTGGCAGATGGGTTTTAGGGCATACTCTTTCAAGCCAAGCAAAACTGATGATATGTCCCTAGACTCTAGGCCCTAGACCGTCAACCTGCCGACTCTTCGCAGCAACCTGGGCTTCGTAATTCACTGTGAGCCTTGAGTGATGCGACGCCCGTGCCACCCAAACAAGGCTCATGTGCATGCCGGGTTGAAGGTTTCGGGTTTTGTATGATATTCCTAAACCCTAAACCCTGAACTTTAATCTGTAAACCCGAACGCCTAAATCCTAATTACCTCCCAAACCGGGACCCCTAACAGGAGCGCTGAGAAGCCCAGAAACCCGGAGCTTCCCCCACCTGCAGCCCTGACAGGGCGTAGGTCCCTGAAAAGAGCTTCCGGGGCTTTGGGGCTACCACGGGGCTTTGGGGGCTTCCGGGCCGTTATAGGGTTTAGGGGGCTCGGGGTTGAAGAGGCTTAGGGTTAAGGGCCCTTAAGGTTTGATTTAGGGGGCTTCGGGCTAAGGGCTTTTAGGGGTTAGGGGCCTTTTCCGCATTGAGGGTTTTTTCGGGGGCTTAGCTTGACGAAAAGCAAATGGGGCGTTAGAGTTCAGGCTTAAGGTTTTGGGGCCAGGATGTTGGGCATTGAGGCTAAGCATGCTTTGTGCCCCAAAACCTTACTGCTGGCTCCCAGAGCCCAGGTCGGATGATCTCGCGTAGTAATCGCATTGCCGTCCTCAATAAACCTAGGAGCAGTTTAGGGCCTAGGGTCTCGTAAGACTGGCAGGAACCCACCGAAGCATCTCAGGCTCCCAGGGAGAAGGCGTAGCGACATGGAGAGCATCATGTCATAGTAGAGTAGCTATCTACGTACCTTCTTGGGGTACTATAATTTATAGGGTCTGAGTTGTGCTTCTCGGCAACCCATCGCGTGAACGTGGCGACGCTCTTCTTGAGGAGAAGACCGCTCAGTGGCAGCACTTGGGTCTGCGTGAAATTCGCTGAGTAGTTCTGTAAATTCGGGTCTTTTATAGGATCCTCATGATAAGAAGGATGCGTTCTTTTGAGGATCCCGAAACGGACCCCAATCTTGAAGGAAAACCCGCGGGAAGCCAATTCAGGGGATGGAATTGGTCAACAGGTGGCCTGACAAACACAGTTTCTCTTGAGTGCAAAGATCTGAGAACTATCGGCAAGGAGTGCATCGTCCGTTGTCGGAGTTTTTTGTTTGGGCGTGTCTCGTCCTGAAAGCTACATCTCGCTAAGCCTTAGGGGGAACAAAGCTTCAAGAATCTTCCGGATCCCGGCCCGCAATGCAAGGCAGCATAAGGCAACGCCGCAATCTTCCAAGCCCAACATTACACAGGCCTCGGTCCCGTGAGACATCCGAAAGGTTACCCCGCAACTACCGACAGCAGCAGTTAGGGCTACCGACCCAGTGCATCTAGCCAGACCACACGACTCCAGAGGCAGAATACGCGCTAAGCAGGTTTGAGCTAAAAGGCTTGAAGAAAGGTGGTGTTTCTCTGGGTTCGAGAACATGAGGTTTAGTAGACTCAACCTTGAAGGTACTACACAGGAAGCCCTTTGAGGCGTGAGAACATAATTTTTTGGTTCATTGGGTTTCCACAGGGGTTTGAACAGCTTGTCCGGGTTGTCCTATACCGGAAACCTGTGTTTAAATGTCTGAGAGTTTACCCTCCCTTTCCTTGGGTAGCAAATCTCAGCTAGGGCTCTGAAGTACTTTGCATACAGAATCTGCAGCACTATTATAACCCGTGACCTTTTGCCTTTCATGCAGAAGCGTTGTTTTTGGGATACATGTGTTGTCTTTTCTGTCCTCGGAGACCGGATTCCACAACTGCGGTAGATATGGATCCCAGCAGGCGAGACCTGAACCAAGAGTTTCGAATTTGAGCTTGCGGCTCCAGCCTTCCATCGTTCTTTCTTGGATCAGGGGATCTGGTTGGTAGGATTATGTACGAGTAAGGCAGCGATCACCTCCATAAACGTTCATAGGATGTACAACCTAGCTAGAACTGCTGAGGGTTTCGGGTTTAGGGTTTCTCTAAGATCCCCAAATCCCAGTGCCTAAGAACTTCTCGCGAGCCCACTGAGTAAAGTAATGGCAACTTGTAGCGTGGGCAGCATGACAACGGTTTTGTTACAGTACTACCCGTGAGCCTTCAAGCAGGATTTCCACATCGAGGCCAGAAGTCTGTGCACAATCAGAATCTGCTGCCTGCTTTTCAGGGATTTAGCCTGGCCTTTCTTACAGTGCCTGTCTGAGGTAAGTACGAGTCACCCACGTTGAAGGCAGAGGCGATGCTTGTCAGAATAAATCATAGGACGCTATTTTTCCCGGTAGTTGTACTGCCAGGTTTTCAGCTGCACTTTATGAGCGGATCCCACCAGTCCTTAAGTATAGTACCTGGGCAGATCTGGTGTTGATAGGGCTTGCTAGTTCTCGTTACACTGTTGAGTACTTCTAGGTTGGTACCATTCCCTGTGCTGTGTTTGGATAGGAGGTCATTTGGGATTTGTTCTGGGGCCTCTGCGTGGTTTCGGAAGACTTCTAAATCCTTTCAGGAATGCGTCTCTGGCTGGCTTCGACAAGTGAGGAGTACCTGATTTCGGAGTGGGCTCTTAACGTAATGAGGTAGATGAGGATGTCGAGGATGCCGGTAGTCGGGGGGTGAGGCTTCCCTTCGTCGAAAATTTCGTCAGGCCAAGAGGGATCCCACAGTATTTACGGCCGAGATTCGCCCTATTTGCATATCTAGACTTGCGATTCAGGTTTGGGGGTTCTCCGAGACCAGAGCACTGAGCTCAAACACGCCTAATTATTGGCCTTCTCAAGCGCAGTTCAAGTTGCAGAGGCTCCCAGACCTGACCCACATGCTTCCATGAACAAACTCATGCACAGAACCTGTTGCCTCAATCCTAGGGATTTGGTTTAGGGTGTCGGGATTTAGGGTTTCGGGATTTAGGGTTTTGGGTTTAGGCTTTGGGGTTGATTGGAGTTTCTCCTCAAAGCCGTACGGGAACCTTTCACCGACTCGCATTGAGGTGTTTGACATCGATGCGGTCGCTATGTTCACCCATAGAGTTCAGTATGCTCCGGCAAATCAGGGCCAATCGGACACCAAAGCAAACCCGGAGGCCCTGAAGCCCGAAATCCAAGACCCTGAACCCTTAGCCCCAAGTACGCATTGTCAAGCCCGGGCACCTTGGAAAGAAGCCCTCAAACTGGAGCTTGGTAACCCTAAAGCCACAGCTCAAAAGAACAACAAGATGTCTCTCCCATTCTGTCATAGCCAAGGTGGTCGGATTGGAAATGGGCACGCCATCCAAGGTACCCCTGGTGATTCCGGGGTCAGGGGTGACAAGCACTAGCTTCTGTGATCTATTGCTGTTGTGGCCTGAGGATTTTTGGGTTCACCGGTGTGGGCTTCTTTCTTGTGACGTCCTGCTCGAGCGCCCGGCCCCTGCACAACGAAACGGTGCCCTTGACTTCAAACCGCTGAGCTCGTCCTAGATACATGTACTCGGGAGGCAGAGAATAAGTACCGACAGCTACCGGAGCACCGGAGCACCACAAAAAA